TGATTTTACTAATTAGCACTAACTATTCATGTAACTTATTTTGTTCAGTATTGTGAGAATCCATCATAAATTGACTAGTTTTACGCACTAGCAATGTGAGCAAGCTCATACAAGCAGAGTTATTTTATTCGAAAAAAAGTAAATTTTCTCCTTAACAAGTTATTCATTAATTTCTGAAAAGCCTAAGAAATTTTGAGTGTTTGACTATGATTGTTGTTGTATGTTGTGCAAGCTATTCTCAATTTTTTTTGGATTTAACGTTGCGATTGCTTTAAAGGTTGAGGTACGATGGTAGAAGACAACATAGATGACAATGAGGTAGAACAATGGGGAGAATTTCCTGTAGTATTATTACAACAGAAGAGTATGGAATATGCAATTATAAGCAAGAGGTCATCGCGAGCTCGTTTTTCCTATGGCATTATATTCTTGATAACAAATCTTATAGCTTGGTTTGTCCGCGATTATGGTGAAAGGGTGCTTCCTCTGCTTCATTGTAAGTCCAACATTCTTACCGTTCCACGCTGTTGACATTGCAAACTTACTGTCATGTATTTATGCTTCTGTAGTTGCAACAGAATGTTGCATGCTAGGTAAATGAAATAACCTACTTAGTTAACAGCTGAACGCTCTAACCACTGAGCTACTGAGGAACAATAGTAAGTACGAGGACATAGAGTTCAATTCCTGCTGTCAATTCATTTCCTAAATTTCAACAGGCCATAACGGTCTTATGACTCGTTTCAATCTTGCATATGACTTGATTCTGCTTTCTATACAACTGTTTTTAATGATTTCACAATATATGCCTCTTGATTCGTGTTTCAAATTTTATCCGCAGATTCAAAAGCATGTGGAAATGGTGGAAGTGAATGTTCTCACACGATGGGGGTTCTTCGTGTGAGTTTAGGTTGTTTTGTATCCTTTTTCTTTAGAATGTGGTTCTGTATAACTATATGAAAGTTTCAAAGGCTTTCTTCTGTTCTTTAATGCTATCGTTTTCGTTTGATAAATAAATGAGAAATCTTTCACTCTTGCATCCTTGACATACATCATTAGAGTTTCTTTTTAGTAATGTTTCTTACAACATGTTTCACAAGCAAGTTGTATGACGTTCGCAATGTATGGCATTCTGGCTGGTGGATTTTGAAGTTTCTTATGTTGATCATTTTTACGGTGATTCCATTTTTCGTCCCCTCAGATTACATCCAGTTATATGGTAAGTGAATGCTTAAGCTTTCTGATCAAAGCATTTCATTTTAGCTTCATGTGAAATGCAACTTTCATCTTATTTTTCTCTATAGACTGTCTGTTTATATTTAGTCACTCATGAAATACCAAAAGTAAACGGAAATCGCTATCTTTTCTGCAGGTGAATTTGCTCGAGTAGGTGCAGGGTAATACTACTACAAGAATCTGCAAAATAGTGGCTCAAATTTTTTTGAACTTTCTTATATATACTCTTTACTGATAATGTTCTGTTTAAGTTTGCAGTATCGGAAGCAATGATTGACAGTTGATACTGGTTCTGTTATGTATTTGCAGGGTTTTTCTCATCCTCCAGTTAATAAGTGTGATCGAGTTCATCACGTGGTGGAATAACTATTGGATGCCTGATGAACGAAAGAAACAAAGGTATAGTTATCACTTTCAGCGTTCACGCTCACATTGTGTACTTACAGTATATCCTTTTTGTCAAAACAGCTGCTCCCTTGGTTTATTTATGTCAACAGTCTGTTACATCGCTTCCATTTGTGGAATTTTCATGATGTATATGCTTTACGCCTCCAAAACATCATGCATTCTGAACATGTTCTTCATCTCCTGGACTGCAATTCTGCTGGTAGTAATAATGGCTGTATCTTTACACTCTAAGGTATGCTTTTAATACAAATAGTTAGTTTCCCTTCGGATACTTTTCCCGAATGGTGAAAGAGTCTATCAACTGTCAAGAAACTCTTTTAAGCCATACAATAGAAAGATGCAATAAGTTCTGTGATGGACTTATCTATCACTATGCTTACACGTTTTTCTGATTTTTGATCGTCCCATCTGCTCGATCATCTTTAAGGTTGCTTAAACTGAAAATCCCTTTCTACTGATGAGTACTGCACGCGTTGTTAATACATTTTCAACTTATTTTACAGGTAAATAGGGGACTTTTGTCTTCAGGGATTATGGCTTCTTATGTTGTCTTTCTGTGTTGGAGTGCTATTCGAAGGTCAGAAACCTCGTGCTGATATTATTGTTCCCTTCTGTTATTTGTTTAGTCTGTGAATTCGATATTCAGTCTCAGTGAGTTCATAGATCAAAATGATCAAAATGTTTAGTTTGTTGGATGATCATCCCTATAACAAAAGCATATTTGACAGGGCGATAGACGCATGTTTAGCTGAAAACTTACGATTCTTTCCCCTTCATAATGTAGTTGTTGTTTGGTTGTCATTTATGTGATGAAGTCGATTTGGTGACACTTTGTTTACAGTGAGCCTGCCACTCAGAAATGCAGCTCTCAGCAACAAAACAACGCGCATGGTGGTTGGACTACTGTAATTGTAAGCTCATTTTTTCCTTGTTCTGCTTACCAGTTTGAGAATGCTGTTTTAAGACATCAAAGTTGTCACGACTCGTGTGAACTTGTGGTATACCTTATAAAGCTTTTCACTTTCCTCTCTCATTCCGATATGGGAATTAGCCTAAGGTATATATATATCATGTGCACCCCCTTCTTCGATAGCTTGTCAACCTAGAAATCTGTCAGTCCTTCTCTCGTCATTTGAATCTCTCATTTCACATGCTTATTCACTTGCTCACTATCTTTCTTTTCCTTGTAAAATAGGGCTTCTTGATTGCTATATGTGCAATCGTCATGGCAACGTTCTCCACTGGCATCGACTCACAAACATTTCAGGTGAGCTTGGCTTTCTCTGTCCCAATACATGGACAGAACGCGTAGAAATCCCAAACCATCTTTCATGTGTATGTTTCCGTTTTGCTGAGACATGACTATATCTCCTTGCTCGTATCATAGTTTCGCAAGGATAAAGTTCAATCGGAGGATGATGTTCCCTATAAGTATGGCTTCTTCCACTTGGTGTTCTCCTTAGGAGCAATGTACTTTGCTATGCTTTTCATCAGTTGGAATCTTGATGGTTTGCCTCGAAAGTAAGTATATCTTCTTTTTTCGTTTGAGCTGAGGATCTATCAGAAACAACCTCTCTACCCCCACAAAGGATGTAGAGGTAAGGTCTGCGTATATCCTACCGTCCCCAGACCTCATTGCGGGATTACACTGAGTATGTTATAGTTGAACATGTGTTATAGCAACATTAATTTGATTCAATTTTTTGTTTTAATTAACAGATGGAGTATTGATGTTGGTTGGGCTAGTACATGGGTGAAGATAGTGAATGAATGGTTTGCTGCTACAATATATTGTAAGTCAATTTAGTTTGTACTTATTTTTTAATGAACAATTGATCTAAGTATAGGTAATTTTCGTTTATCGCGCTAGAGTCATAAAATTATATCTTATATAGAATAGAAGAAAAAAATAATATCCAAAATGCCAAATCCGGTCTCGGTTAAGGCAAGTAGGTTGTCATAACTCACATGTATAAAGTTGTTAGGTACACGTCAGTGACTCACTTGAAAGTGGAGCGATCATCTGTAAAATTAACCCGAAATTATATATGATATTCATGTATTTCTTACATTTTTCAATTATATCATGAATACAGTGTGGAAATTAATATTTCCTGTAGTGAGACAAACAAAAGTGATGGATCATGAAGCGACAGAACAACAAATGAACAACTCAACTTCAGTGTGATTTTTGTTGCTAGATAAGTGATGCACGTTGCTCGGACTCCTCAAAAATTTCAACGATTGTGCTTATGTATCGTCGATTGCTTCAAAAGTCGTATCGTTTTTGGAGAATAAGACACTCTAGAGGTGGCAAAATGGGTAAAATGAACCAAGGGTTGGTAAGTGAGTGATAAATGGCTATTTCATGTTATAAAATAATTTATTGGTAAAGATACAATATTTACATGAGCTAATTTTTATCACCCTTCATTTACCCATTTTACCACTTGTTTTGTGTTATGTATTTCGTAATTTTTTTTAAAAAAATGTACTTTTACTTGTAAATTCTTTCTTATTATCATGGGAAATTTGATGAATACTAAAATCCCCTATTTTTTTTTGTTTGTTTGTTTTGAATATATGTTAACGAATTTTTAAATAATCGATCGTCTATAAAGATAAACAGCTACTTGCTAGATATCAATAAAACCAAAGTAATATAAAGTGAATTATCTTAGAATAGAAAGAAAAAAAAAGGAAAAAAATGGAAGCTAAAAATGATGGAAAAAAAAGTGAGAACTAAGATGGATTAGGTTTTACAAGTGGGCAAATATTATCATTATTTTCTCTGTAATGGACCAGTTTATAACTAATAATACTAGCTTTTCACTAATAATTTTCCCTTTCCACTTAGATATACATATTTAAAGAATGTATAAGTATTAAAGAGACATTAGATAATAAATTAAATATATATTCTAATATATATATATTTTGAATCTTTTTATATAAATTTATGATTCCGTCATCGGATTTAAATCATATCCACTCACATAACAAACCGCTTATGCACCATCTATTTAATTTAACCATTGACAAATACCGTATCGAGCTTTCTATATTAGGCTTATTGTTGTAGGTCTACTTAAGTCGATAGATTAAAAACTTTATAAAGTTATTACTACGAATAATTTTCCCCAAAAAATATTACTATTATTTTGTCATATAGAAGAATTTTCAGACCTTATTATAAATTTATAATATTAAGCAAAATCCTGTAAGGTTTTGTTGTACTTGCCACACTAAGGAGACTTTCAACAACAACCTTTATATTCTCACAACAAATCCACCTTTATAAAAAACTATATAAACTGTCAATCTTATGTTCATTTTCATACTCAAATCAAGAAAAAAAAAACATCTCAATCCAAAATCCCACAAAAATTCTCAAAAAATGTTCATCAAATTTGCAATTCTATTTGTATTTGTACCATTTATAGTTGCAATTGATCATGTAAGTACAAGTACACCACAAGAACCGATTCTTGAATTGTACATGCACGATATCTTGGGAGGAAATAATCCAACAGCTCGACCAATAACCGGTTTATTAGGCAATATTTATAGTGGACAAATACCATTTGCTACACCACTTGGTTTTCAACCACCAAAAGATGGTGTTGCAATTCCAAATGCTAATGGTGCAATGCCAACATTCAATATCAATGGTGTTCCATTAGGAACAGGTCTAGCAGGCACAATATTTGCTGGAGGAAATAATAATAATAATAATAATAATGGACAAAATGTGAATACTCAATTAGGCCCTGATGGTCTAGGGCTAGGGTTCGGGACGATCACGGTTATCGATGACTTCTTGACCTCGTCTCCTGAATTAGGTACTGTAGACACGTAATTCTTGACCCTCCCCTTCTTAATTTCTTACTTTTTAAAAGAAACTAGTTTCTAGTTTAAACATTTCTTCTGTTTCACTTCAATATCTAAAGTTTGATTTCATTTTGAGGATATCGAAAAGAAGTGTAATACATAAATGTGCCTTTTAACTTGACCTTATTTCACATATATGCCCTCCAACTTTAGTAGACACATGAGTCCTCGTGGCATAATACATGTAGAACACCAAGTAGGATACAAATTGCCAGGTAGGATGTCACGTAAGACACATGTGTCTATTTGTTCAACCTTATACAAGTTTAAGTGTCTATTTGTGCATATCCAAAGTTGGAGGGCATAACTGTGAGTTGAGGCCAAGCTAAAGAACATATTTATGTATTATGCCTATCGAAAAGTGCAAAATATAGTACATAAACAAAAGTTCAAACTTGGCCTGACCTGGCAAGTAAACACGTCAACGTTGAGTATGCACGTCTAGATACCTCAACTCTGAGTATTCATTGTGCCTTTATTTCTTTATATCTCGACTCCCCTTAGTGAAAACAAATCCTAGCTCCGCGCCAACGCTACATATTGAGTGAAATTTTTAACATTCTTGATTTTACAGGTACACAAAACCTTGGAAAAGCACAAGGAGTATATGTAGCAAGTTCAGCAGATGGAAGTACTCAAATGATGGCATTTACAGCTATGTTTGAAGGAGGTGAATATGGTGATAGTCTTAATTTCTTTGGAGTTTTTAGAATTGGAAGTACAATGTCAAGAATTTCAGTAACAGGAGGAACTGGTAAATTTAAAAACGCGTGTGGATTCGCGGAAATACGTTCACTTATACCAGCTGGTCAACATGTTGCTGATGGTGCAGAGACATTGTTGAGGATTGTTGTTCATCTTACTTACTGAATTTGCTTTAATTTGATGTAATTTTGTTTGTGTGGATTGTGTTTTGTTTGATCACTATGAATATTATAGCTTTGGTTTTGTGTTACATATTGTCTTGTTTCATTGTGGCAAAGTGAATATATATCTCTATGTATTCCTCTATCCGTAGAGTATAACGAATGTATTGTGGATCAATACAACATTTCCGAGAGGGTGGGATGTATGTAGACGTTGCTCCTACCTTTGTAGTACAGAGAGGCTCTTTCTGATAGATGCTCAACTCAATAGAATATGTTTCAATTACCATGTTCATAAAACTAATGCAGATAGCAGAGTTTATGGAAACAGCAGCAGAAACACAAAAGCTACAAAGTTTTTTAAACTGACAGAGATAAAAAACACTAGGCGACTCTTCTCATTTGTCCTAGTCTTGGTGGACAGAGTTACATGGTACTTGTTGCTGATAGGAGGTGACAGGTATCCTGTGGAATTAGTCGAGGTGCGTGAAAACTGGCCTGGACACCACAATCATGACAACAATATAACAGATACAATAAACCGAATGTATCAAATGTAAAACAGAAGAAGAATATAGAGCTAGTATTTTTACCATTACTGCATTTCAGGCGTATTTTCAATACTGTCAAGATAAGGCGAAACAAGGCTCTCAGCATAGACAGTTGCTGCTCCAACACCATCACCATCCATTTCACGAATCTCCACGCGTTTGTACTCATCATTCCTCGAGTCATACACCATAACATGCGTTCCATCATGCAACAACACTTCACCACCGATGTCTGATATCCACAACGGTGATATACAAGGCCCTACTCCCCTTACATAAGGAAGGGAAACCGATTTAATCCAACACCCTTTCGCGTTATACTCCTTCATTATCCATACATCCAACTTAACTTTATAATAGTCACAAAACAAACAAAGAAAATCCCCTAACTTCCCTAATGACCAATTCATAGTCCCTAGTTCACAATCACTTGAATCTCCTAATGACCTTGAATTATCAAAACCATCAAAACCATCAAAACTAGGCAATGCAAAATTCCCAAATTTCTCATTTTCCAAGTTAAGTGAAACTATATCCCAATAAATACAAGATCCATCATTATGTGCCACAGCCCAATGAACACATCCATTCAAGAAAACACCAGAATCAGAGGAAAAAAGTGCATCACTATACTTTTTCATAATTTTCCAAGAATTTGACCTTAAACTATAAATCTTGATATTTGCATCATATACATAGTGAATATCATAAACCCCATAAATCTCAACAACTTTATAATCATCATTAAACTCATCATAACCAAAACCAAAAGTAACATCACATCTTGAATACTTAGTACAACTAGAAAAAGGCAAAATCTTGTTTTTTCTAGTAGATGGATTCCACAAATACAAGTTATTATTGTACATACCAATACAAATCAAGAACAAACCATTACATAAAGAAACTCCAGCTATAATGTTTGATGGATTCCAAGGGAAATTGAGTTTGTTGAGACAAAGATTGGATTTTTCATGCAATGTAGAGTAAAGGGTGCAAGAATATAGAGAATGAGGTAGATACATGGAGAGTAAAAGGAGATTTTTGTATGATAAATTGTTGTTTCTTGATGATATGTTTAAATGAGATTTCGAAAAATGAGATGATGAAATTAATGAAAGCCATGATTTCGAAACAGACTTGAATTTCAAGAGTGATTTGACTGGTAATCTTGAAAGTATTTCTATGATGATCTCTAGTGGGAAATTTGGAATATGTATTTGATCATTGGGAATGGTGTTTTTCATCTCATTGTTTGTGGACATTATTGGCTTTAGGATTTTTGAAGAATGTTATAAAGTTGACTCATAAATGAAAAGGAATGAAAATACCAAACTTGATAACAAAGTTTTCTTTTTTCTTTTTTCTTTTTTGATGCTCCAATGGTCAACTCTTATAATTTATTAATTAATTCCATTCTTTAACATATCCTGTGATTTTGTTGTTATATTCTAGATCCAACAACACAAAGTTTATAACTTTATAATTAAGTCCCCCTTAGTGTATTTCCAGTTATGTTTGTGCAACTCAATATATAGACATTTCACTGATATAAAAGACATTTCATCCATAAATATTGAGGTAAAGTAGTGATTACTCATTCATCGTTTAATAAGATATTTCGGCGAATTTAAGCTTTAGTATGAAGTTACTTTTTGTTAGAGAATATTTGTATTCTTAATATACTACTTTTCAGCTTATATATGAATTTAGTCAGACTTCAATAAGCGTACTAGACATGGAAGTTCGAAGGGAAAATAAAAGAAACAAAAGAGATTCATGATTTTCAATATTAGATTAAATTGTCCACATCACACTTTTTGAGTGTGACCCTTTCCTAAATCATACTAACTCGAGATATTCTATGCATCGACTTTGTTTAATCAAACTTTAATGAGCGTATTAGACATCGAAGGAGAAATAAAAGAAACAAAAGAGATAGTTATGATTTCCAACATTGGATAAGTCTATCTACCTCACACTTTTTAAGTACGATCTCTTTCTTGAATCATACTAAACTCGAGATATTTTATGCATTGGGTGTGTTTGTGCAACTCAATGAATAGACATTTTATCTATAAAGATTATGGTAGAGTGGTGATTGTTTATTATCGTTTAAAACAATGTCTCGTCTTATTTAAGTTTCGGTATGCAGTTACCTCTTAGAGAAAACGTTATCCCTAATATAGTACTTTTCGATCTGTATCTGAATTTAGTTGAACTTCATTAAACGTACGAGACTTCAAAGAAAAAATAAAAATAAACAAAAGAGATATTTATAGTTTTCGACATTAGATTAGATGGTCTACATCACACCTTTTGAGGGTGGTCCTTCCTTGAATCATACTAACTCGAGATATACTAAACATCAACGACATCTAGTTGGACTTCAACGAATGCATTGGACATTGAAGGAGAAATAAAAGAAACAAAAGAGATATCAATAATTTTCAATATTAGATTAATATGTCTACATCACACTTTTTGAATACGATCTCATTTTTTGAATCATACTAACTCGAGATATTTTAAACATCGGCTGCATTTAATCGGACTTCAACAAACATGTTAGGCATCAAAGGAGAAATAAAATTAGAAACAAAAGAGTTACTTACTTATGATTTCTATAGTATTAGATTAATCTATCTACATCACACCTTTTGAGTACGATTCCTTTCTTGAATCATACTAAATTCGAGATATTTTGTACATAGACTATATTTGGATATTCTAGAAACTTGTCATGCCGCCCATTCACATCCCAAATTTGAACAAGTCATGAGAATCAAATCAATCATCAAAATCGCAGACAACAGAAGAAGGCAGTGTGACTGAGAAAACCAAAGAAAAGAACCAAACCATTTACAGTAACATTCTTACATATAAAACTATTTCAAGAATCTGTTTGTAAATCCCAAGAAAATGCACCACCACCACCCTCCTCCACCAACCACCACCAGAACCACCACCTCCACCACCACCAAAATCTCAACACCCTTTATCATTCTTGCCACCACTATCTTCTCACTTCTCCTTATTCTTACCTTCTCCTTCAGTTCCCCTCCACCCCATCCCCACCCCAACCAACCCCACCCTTCCCTTTTCCCAAATCATCAACCCCATCGTCTCCTTTTTCATCATAACCCAAATGACCAAAATACCTTTCTACCCCCACCCCCTGCCATAGCTTACCTCATCTCTGGATCCACAAAAGACACTTCAAGAATCATCCGTTTGCTATTTGCAGTATACCATCCAAGAAATCAGTATCTTCTTCATCTTGATAGAAAAGCTTCTCAATATGAACGTGATGATCTTGCACTGTATGTTCAATCTGTGCCTCTTTTTAAAGCTGCCCAGAATGTGAATTTTATTGGAAAAGCTGATTTTGTTTACCCAATGGGGTCTTCTGCTTTGTCTGCTACTCTTCATGGAGCTTCTATTCTTCTGCGTGTTTCTGCTCATTGGGATTGGTTTATTAATCTATCTGCTGATGATTATCCACTTGTTACTCAAGATGGTATGAATTATGTGTAAAGATTTAATCTTTTTGATGTTTTTACTGGATTTAGTGTGTGTTGATTATCCAATTGTTTGTCAAAACTCTATATGCATGTTGGTTAATGTTAAAGATATGCTCTGTTTAGTGTGAAAATTGAGTCTCTTTTTGAGAAGTATGTATAAAGATTTAATCTTTTTGGTGTTTTTACTGGATTTAGTGTTTGCTTATTATCCAATTGTTAGTCAAAACTCTATATGCATGTTGGATAATATTGAAGATATGCACTGTTTAGTGTAAAAATTGAGTCTTTTTTGAGAAGTATGTGTAAAGATTTAATCTTTTTGGTGTTGTTACTGGATTTAGTCTGCTGATTATCCTATTGTTAGTCGAAACTTTGTATGCATGTTGGATAATGTTGAAGATATGCATACTACGAGAGATAAGATTAAGAATAAGGATACTTGGGACAAGGTGGGAGTAGCCTTTGTGGTGAGGAGAGGTAGAGGTAGAGGTAGAGGTATGCTGAAGAAGTATTGGTGAAAAGGTGATAAGACAGGACATGACACAATTTCAGCATACCAAGACTTAGATAGGACGGTGTGGAGATGGCAGATAAGTGTAGAATGTTAGTAGGTAGTTAAGCTTTGACTCGCTTTTCGATGGGTTAAGGCTTGGTGGGAGTCTGGGAGCACTATGTTTGTTGTAGTATTAGCCTTATACATGTATTTTCTTTTCAGTTACCACATTATTTCGCTGATGTTACTGTTTCTTTTCTCGGAATATTCTGTACTGCTTTCCTTATTAATTGACATGTTTTCTTCACTATCGAATTCCCTTTTTCGTAAATACTTTGATTTGCTGTTTTTGAGACGAGGGTCTTTTGGGACTCTACCCGTCCCAAACCCCACTTGTGGGATTACACTAGGTATGTTTGCTGTTTGTTACTGGATTTAGTGTATGCTGATTATCCAATTGTTACTCAAGGCTCTGAGATATGCATATTGGATAATGCTAAAGATGTGTTCTTTTTAGTGATTGTTGAGTAACTGGAGTATGCTTCTACTGAATTTTTAGCTTATGTAGGGAATTTAGGATCCTAATTATATTCTGCTAAAGATGCAATATTTGTAGAAACAGTGAGTACACTTTGTGGTAAGGAGTTATCTGGTCATCATGAAGCACAACAACATCACACCCAGAGTAGTCCCACAAGTGGGGTCTGGGGAGGATAAGATGTACGCAGCATTACTGCCAGGGGCGGATCTAGAAGCCGACGTCTGGCTTGCTCGAACCTGTGGTTTTAGTTCAAACCCTGTTTTCTTATGAAGAAATTCACATTTAGAAACCAGTTCCCTACACTTGATATCGCTAGGAAATACTGGTTCTCTGGTTACTGCCCTTAGCAAAAATGTGGCATTGTGGAACAGATATAGGGGGGCCTTGGACTTAAGCTTTGCAGTCCAAATTGTTATCCTTTTGTTGTACAAGTAGTATAGTTTTGTCTGCATGAAGCAACAACAAAAAACATCTCTTATCCTGGGTGATTTGAGTTTGTCTTGGCTCTCTACATTGATAGAATGCCGAAGGAAAAAAATGATTAGGATATTTAAGTTGTTATTTTTCTAGGATGTAAGCTGGTAGTCTGGTACATTATTCTTGACTTTGGTATTAATGGATGTACAGATGTATTTTCCTTTTCCTTTACTGTTTATCACTTCAATAGAGGCATTAAAATTTGATTCTATTCAATGGATCTAATTATGTCATTGGACTCATTTCTCACGACAACACACGTTCACTTAGGTAATGACTGATGAGTAATCTGATGCTATTTTCTATTGATTTTCAGATCTTCTACACATTCTGTCATATATGCCCAAGGATCTTAATTTTGTCAACCACACAAGCTACATTGGGTGGAGAGAGTATGGCCATATCCTTTTCGTATTATAAGTTTCTATCTTTCTGTCTAAGCATGTATGCACATGGATAGAGGCAAGTAATGTATGGTTTTAGATCTTAATATATGAGTGTTTTGGATGTTCCAGGTCCCGGAAGTTGAAACCAATAGTTGTTGATCCTGGGCTCTATCTTGAAGAGGAAGATGACGTATTTTATGCAACTCAGAAAAGGGAACTGCCTGATGCTTTTCGATTATTTTCAGGTCAGATGCTTGGTAGCCATATTTTTTGCATTATGAATGATGAAAGCATGAATATATTTGTGTTATTTAATCCCTTTGAATGTTTGATTGAAAAAAATAATAATCTTGATATGAAGTGGACAACTATAACGCTTTGTTCCTGTTAAAAAGAAAAGAGTAAAAAATGAAGTAGAACATAGAGATTGTAAAAGTAACTTTGAGATGAAGTAACCCAGTGCACAATGCATCCCACCTTACAAGGGTCCTGGGAAGAACCGCACATTAAGGGGTGTGATGTAGACAACTACCCTAATGCAAGCATTAGTGACTGCTTCCACGGCTCGAACATGTGACCTATACGACACACGGAGACAACTTTACTGCATCTGAGTACCTCTAAATGTCCATCCTTCTCCAAATCTTTATGCAGAAAATGCTAAACTAGATGGCCATGACTCTTAAGACATTTTAGCTACATTGTACGCAGAAAATCGATTTCAGTTTAGAATCAAAATCTTTCAGTCAATGAATCTACAACGCATCACCCATGTTCCAAGTGTCTACTATTTTATCCTTCACCTTGAAAAGGCCCCAACATTTTTCGGAATTTAAATCTTTTTGGATATGTGACAAC